TTCATTCTGGGAGGTCTAGTCACCCTTACGATTCCTAGTTGCATGTTGAGTGATTGTTATTATTCGTTACTGCACATAAGGGAACACATGGTTAAAAGGATGCAGGTACTGAGTGGACCACAAAGTGATAGAGAATTACAGCGGGAGTAAAGGCTTCGCTAAGTGGCCTCAATGTCAGGGGTGCCTCCAGTCACCCCTGATAGCTGGGACTGCTTCCTGCCATGGTGACCTCCGCTTCCGGAAACCGCTGCGCCATGGTGGCTATGAATGACTTTAGGACTGCCTAGTCCTTCCAGGTTAGAGTCATCACCTATCCTAGTAATACTTTCACCATCATTAGAAAAGGTCTGTAAGCTAGAGAAATGCTAGCATTTAAAGCAGTCATTCCAAAACACTTTTAACACCCTGAAGGCATACCTATATATTTCACAGCGTACCCCAACTTCTTTTTATGTTTGTTTTTTTGTTTTTCCAGTCAGGATTTAAGAGTGTTTCAAGTCTCTTTACATAGCTTTCAGAACCCAGACAGTATGGCTTTTGCAATTGGCTTCTATGACAATCCATCAGAGAAAAAAAGTCATTGGGGGTGTTGGCCAAAAGATCCTCTGTTTTGCAGACTTGTGCTCTTTGGGACCATGTGTTCTACAGGTGCCATTCTTACTGCCATAGATTTTTTGGTAGTTTGTAAAAGTACTTAAAAGACCTAATGTGATCTAAGTATAAAGCTGTTTCGTGATGCATTGATGTTGTCAATTCACCCAACAGCCTGATTCGGAAGTGGCTGATGCTGGCATGAAACTTGAAGCGTACTTTGAAGAACTTCTAAGGAACCTTTACCCTGAGAGAAAGTTCCCTGTACAACCCAACTGCCAGAGTGAAAAAGATAATCCAGAACTCACTGATGACTCAGATGATGACTTTGTACAGCCCCGGAAAAAACGCCTCAAAGGAGAAGACCGACAGTTACTTAAATGAGCTGCATGTTACTGCGGAGCGTTTTTTTAAAAACTAAGAGTATTTATCACTGTTTATTGTGAAAAGAGGAAAAATCATGACTGCTTTGACTTGTAGGTTTGTGGATATTTACTAGACTTTCTATTCCTTGTCTGAAACACAAATCTAATGGAGATCAAGGCATGTGGAAAGCTTCTCTGAAGTTCCAAACTTTCATCGTACTTCTGGAGCAGATTTCTGGAGAAATTGCCATTTGTGTGGGGTGACAGCTGTTTACTTTGAGAAAGAAAATAACTTTGTATAGAATTGAACTTTAAAACATTACATGGGTTCAACATGTGGCTTTCTGAGTTTGAAGAAAATGTGATCTCACCAGACTTTTAATTTTACCAAAGGCATGTGGCTGGCCATAATTTGATTTCTTTGTACTGTATTTAACACAAGCCATGAAAACAGATGGTGTAATATTATTGTCCTGCAATACTGACTGGTACAATGAAAGTGTAGTTGCCCCCAAAGAGGTTATTGGTAATTTTAAAATGTAAGGGAGAGTGTATTAAAAACAACTTTAAAAAAAAAAAAAAAAGTTTGTTTGGGAGTTTTTAATGGAGGAAGTAAAGGACAAAATACTTTGGTTTGTGCCATTTTTCTCACCACCAGCAAGAAACAATGGTATTCTGTACTAGTTTGTTTGGCAGGTGTCTCAAGTTTGATGTATCTCTGTTTAATGGACTTGATGGCAAAGTCTTGAGGGGAAAAATGTTTGCTTGCAACCATCAGTTAGTCTTTTTGTATGATTAGAGAGGGGGGAAAAAAGTATCCAGAATCCTTTCTGCCCACAAGCTCTTATTGTTTTTCCAAATTCCTAAATATGTTGTTGTCAGAATGCAACCAGCATCATTATTCACTTGGAAGTACACAAGTTTGAAGAGGTGGAGAGAAAAGGATATTGCTCTTCAACCCTTCGTCTGTACCTGTTAAAATCACCAGAAGGTGAGGACAAATTAACTTTCTTTTTTTTTGTTCTGTCTAATTTTCAGAAGCACTGACAACAATATGGATGGTTGTTTCTGCCCTCAGAGATTGCAGAGTTAGAGAAGTACTTGTCTATGGTTGCTCCAGCTATTGGTTTATACTCTTCATCTATGTCATCTTAAATGAAAACTGAGTTTTCAGGAGAAAGGGCAGTCTCTTGGATTAATTGAGCTCTGACTGTGCCAGAATTTCACAGGTGGGATTGTCAAGATACCCAAGTGTACCCAAGCCTACTTTTGGTGTTCCATATCACACTCATGCTCTGGATAGATCTTTGAGGAGACTGGATACAAGTGCTGCTTCTGCCTCCCTGCTGTGTACGTGTGTGCTCAGAAAAAGACACTTTTTTTGCCTCCCCCCAGATGAGATACTACTCACCTGCCTTGTCATAGGGTGGCACTGCACACTTAAATGTAGTGGACACTTCAAAAGAACACTCCAATTGTGTTTGTAGCAGGCCTTTGACATAGCTTTTGAAATGCCTTGATCAGGTGGTTGATTTTTTTTTTTTTTTTAAGCTGCTCAAAACAACCATTTATTTTCCCTTTTTCCTGTTTGTTTGTTGAGGGGTGGTGAGGCGTGTGTTTGTTTTGGCTTTGTTTTTTTGTAGAAAGTTTTTATTACCAGAAGGAGAGTTGTTTGTAGCAGGAGTTTTGCCATCCCAGAGTACCAGAAGAAAAGAGAGGTGAAGGAGCAGAACAGAATGGTAAGGAAGACCATTCTAATAAAACAGGTGTGATCAGTGCAGGTTACAGCACCACAGATTTAAGAAATAAGAGTCAATTCCATTGCAACATTTGAAGTCTTAAAGATCTAGCAGTGCCTAGAAGTCCTAGATACCATGTCACCCAGTTTAACAGTGCTTCTGGAGGGAGGTGCTCTGTGTTTCTCCAGACCATAAGGTGCAAGCACAGTTTTATTAGGAGGTTTAGTGCATTTAGAGGTAACATTAGGCACCTATACAGCTTCACATTCAAGTTATTCTCTCAGTGGAAAATAATGGGGAGAGGAGCGTAGATGTATTCCTGCACTCTAGTTACATACCTGTCTGCTGTAAACTGTTTGAAAATGGCTCTGTTTAAATAATCCACTGGAAAAATCTGACTCAACTTTCATTTTGTAGTCTTGAACTGCACCCTAAGAATCTTCAGGAATTGCCAATGCAATGAGCTTTGAGATGTTAAATTTAACTATTTTAATGTAGATGACATGCACAAATAGTTGAGGAATGCTATTTTGATTTTAAAGGGGAGTACTATATTCTTTCAAGCTGCTGTGGCAGACCGTATACACTTTGTGTATTTTCCCCACCCCTCATACCTCTCCCTTGCCTCAATCCACTGAATGATGGCTGTTGGGGTTTTTGTGGTAGGTTTTTTTGGTATGTGGAATAGCACTTGTAGTAAAGAGTCTTGATCTCACTTCATGGGACAGGTAGAAAGTATCTTTTTTTTGGGTCGTAAGAAGGAGAATGTCCATGAGAAATTTTATCTGTAGAAATCATAGCTCTTACACTGTTCAGCTGCAATTTTTTTTTATAATGGAAATGGTATGGAGAAGCAATCAACATCAAATGCAGCTCACAGGAAATGACAGATTCCTAAGGTTTATTTTTCTTTTCTATCCAATCCAACATCAAACACTTGTTTTCATTTTACTTGCTAAAAAGGGGAAAGAAAAAAATACATAAAATTAATAAAATGCACATGAAAACCAACAGTAAATGGATACAGGGGAAAATAATACACATTTGGTATGTCCAAAAGGTCCTGCCTCTGATAGGCAATCCCTATGACTGCTTTGGCAGTGAACTGATGCTGCCCTGATAAACTGAAACAAGAGTAGATAGGCTTTTTAAATGTCATTGTCTAGATTTCACAAAAAGCTACTTGCGTATTTTTTATGTAGTTGGTTCATTTAGACATAGATTTAAGGAGCACATCTATTGCCTGGAGCCTTAGGACTAAATATTGCCATGTTAAAAGAGCTTTTACATCATGTATTTAAACTCTTGTATGGATTGGATGACTGTACTTTGTGAGAGGCCCGCAGACAGTATGTTCAACAGTCGTGATTTAGCAATCCCCGAATTACTACGTACACAAATGTAATCTCCAAAATGACCATGAGATAAGAGTTAACAGGTTGAATTTAAGATCTAATGGCGGCTTCTCTGAGTACACAACTAGTTCTGCAGATTTTTATTTTTTCCATCCTTTTGATTTCTGCATGTAAAGGCCAGCATTTGGAGCTTATAGGTCTTAATAGTAGCATGGCAGATAATGCTACTGAATTAAGTTCCCAAGAAAGGGGGGGGGAATCCCCTTTTCATTACACTCCCATTTTTCTTGACCACTGTTAGCCAAAGTTAATCCAACTGTAGCTGAATCAAAGCTTTCCTTTTCTTTTAAAGCAGTTTTAATGAAGTGTTTTGCTTACTAATTGTTGTAAATCCAACCATTTGAAGGCCTTAAGTGGCTTTCTGGCCTCTGTGCATGGGGTTGAATTTCACCCACAAGGGAAGAATAAGTTACTTTGTCCACTTCCTTATTTAAACTTTGATTATTTTTCTTCCACCCAGTCTTCTATAAAATATCATATAGATATTTTAAATGGCATAAAAACATAAAAGACAAGCAGTTCTAAAAGAACCATTCAAAGAAGCAGGCTATGATTAATATGTTGCTCTTTTGAAAACACTAAGGTTAACTATCCCACACACTTTGAAGAAACCCTAGAAGATGTGACCCAGTGAAGTTGTGTATATGTATGTATTTAATATGTGTGTGTTTGTATAGATGTTTTTTTTTAAAGTCTGAAGTCCATATAAAATATTTTGATCAAACATCTGTCTTGCTCTAGGCTGCTAAATAACGTGGATTATTTAGTCCATGGTCTTCTGATTTATACAGTCAAGACTGGAGAATAACAGGTGGTGTGATGTGAAAATTTCCATGCTGGTATAGCTGAATCGACCAGAATCAGAACTTCTCACCAACTTCTGTAATTAAACTAGTGCAACTTGTGCAGGGGGGGCTGAATTTAAACTTTTCCCCCTGAATCTTTGTGCTTAGTGTTTTGACTGATTGTTTTACAGGAAAGATTAGCCACAAGGACCTATCTAAAGGACTGATGCAGTTGGGGCTTTTGACTTGAATTTGATGAAGAAATGGCTTTAGTAGTTTTAAGATATTTATTGCATCTGCTGTTCTCTCTCTCCCTACAGCACAGGCAGAACAGAGTATGTGCCTGGGAAACAGCACCTTCAAGTCAGGACTGGAGATACTAGTGAAGAGGAGCTTGTACTAACATGCTAGCATGAGAGAGCTGGGGCTAGGGCAGGCTTTCTGGTTTGTTCTTTTATGAGAAATGACCTCTGAGTAGGGGTGATGGTGCTTTAAGCTGCTGCAGCAGCACTTTTCTGTGCTTACCCATCAGGCCTTACTTTGGTTTACCACCCCTCAGGAGAGTTTGGTTTGGATTCTGACTGAATCATAATCTAGTAGTTTCTAAACAGTGTTTAGATACACAGTTGCTCCTGGAGTAGTAATACAAACCTGCAGTGCCCTGCCCTTGGTCTCAATGGGCAGTGTGACCGCAGAGATGGCACACACGACACACACAGATGAGAAAAGACACAGGGCCCCAATGAAAGAAGCACTCATGAGAACCTGCAGGCAAATGAACAGTTTAAACATCAGCTCAGTGGTATAGGGAGGGGTGGCAGTTAATCAGTAATTAACAAAGGGTCACAAACACCTGAGAGACTTGACAGTTGAAAAATGGTATCATGTGGATCAGCATTCAGAAAGTAACAAATACTAGCACGCTAAGCTCTAGGAAGAGATTTGTGGAGATCTGCAGCTGGTAAAGTACTCTGTATAGACATCAGATAAAGAACTAATGAGTTGGAGTGGGGGAACTGAAATAATCTATTTTTTGTGAACTGCAAGAATATCTATATTTGATAGCAATGATTGGCACAATGTTTACCAACATTATCCGGTATGCTCTTACTTGTGATATAAATGGGGCCACCATAGCTCCAACACGGCACAATGACCCACTTGTTCCCATCCCCAGGGCTCGCATTGTGGTGGGATAAACCTAAAATGGGCCAGAAAGAAATTGGATTAGTGCAACAGCAATCTGTGATATGTGTCTTTATTTTCCTTTTTATATTTTTCTTTTTCTTCAGAGAGACAGACCCATTACATTATCCAGGGCAGTTAGGAAGATAAGATATGAAAAGAAATAAAGGTTCTTTCTGGGTCTCGTTTGTGCCATTACAAATCTGCTGGGTTTTGCCCCAAGTAAAGTTTTAGGGCCAGTCAATCAAAGCTGGATAGGATTCCCCTGCTGTTTGCTCCCTGTCCCCTTGCCCCCCTTTGGGGGCCAAAGTCACAGAGGATAGGCTGGGTGCTAAAGGAAGAAGTAAATTTATATTGCCAGGCCCTGTACCTGGAAAGCAGGAGGAAAGGCATGCAGCCTTCAAGACTGCCTATTTATTTGTATCAACAGCACTTTTGTTTAGGAGGAAAAAGAAAAACAGATCCCAATAAGAAACGTCCAGGCTTAGAAGAATGTGCTTTCTGTATTTTTCACATCTCCCAGACACCTGTGCCAATAAAACACTTAAGCATCTGTTTTGCTTAACTTTAGGTAAGTCCTGATACTAGATTTTAGCACGTAGACTCATGTAAGCCTTTGTTTAAATACTTTACTGGTCCAAGCCAATGGGCATAAGGTAATGCAAGAGAAGTCCTGGCATGTGGCCAGAAAGGGGATTTCTGAGTTTACTTTTGATCATTGATGACAGTGTGAGTATTGGTTTATGATATGGCTGTTGTAGCAATGGTATTTCTGTTTGCTTTTTATAACTTTACTCAATCTGCAAGGCAATACATTTAACTCCACACAATTGTTTAAAAAAACAAAACAAACAAAAAAACCCAAAACCAAAAACCCCCAACAGTGCATACTTAACCCACAGAACTCATGGCTCCAAAATTGTATGGAGGACAAGCTCTCTGAAGGATTAAAAAAAAATATTTGCAGACAGAACACAGTAATTTCCATTAAGTGAAAAAAAATCGGGTATATATAATGTCATATACTACTTCATGTTACTGCATCAGTCCCCTAAGCGCTGGAAAATGTTCCTTTCAGTGGTCGCCTCTTTTCTAACTTTGCAGGCATGGTGGAGGGGGAAGATTGCAGCTTTTGGAAGATGGCAGTACACAACATCCTCAAAAATAACATTTTCTAGTAGCTGGCCGATGGGTGGCTTATTAGGGCATTTATCTTCCACCTGCTCTTGCCATCTTTAGCTAGTTTAATAATTTCTCCTCTGCTCTTGCATATGAAAACAGTGGGGCCAAGGAAACTAGAGATACTTAGTTCAAGGAAGGTGACTCTTAACTAGTCAATAAATATGGCAGTATTTCTGAGTATAGGCAAATGGTCTTTCATGTCCCAGAGCAGCTTAACATGCTTTCAGGAGGACCCACCTCTGCTGTGTAAATGTAGATGGTGTTGAAGTTTGCTGAAACCAGGGCACGCAGCATGAAGAGGAACCCAATCATGCCTGTGCTAGGGAGAAAGCCAGGGGGAGCAGAGTTAGTATCACTGAGCAGTGATCAGCAGAGACACAGCCTAATTCCCTGTGCTAAGGCTTTTAGCAGCTTAATATAAGGGAAATCATAAGGAAAAGTTGATTGTTGAAACATAGAATCTTTCTTTAGTCCATTGGCAAGGCATGTTTAACAACAGGCTATTGCATGTTAGGTTTCCTCTAGGCCACTGTTAGAGGCTGGAGGGAATGAACAGGACCTTAGTGGCTCAGCTGCTGCCTTCAGCATTACAGTCAGGGCTGGCTTTCAGCCTAACCCTCACTTTCTGTTCCTCTATAAAACTGTTGCAAGCAAATATGATGGCCAGGCTCAAGCTCAGTTTCAGGGAAAACTGAAAATAACAATAATAGCAGTACAGAGGACTTAGTGAAGGACTGTAAGCTTCCTGATGGGCTCACTTAGCTTAATGACTATTTGCAGCCTCCCACTCCAGCTTCCAAGTATTTCAGCCAGCCTCCAGGGCCAGTGGCCCACGGGCAGGCAGCAGGGGTGTACACCACTGGCAAGCAGCTGTCAGGCTACCAGCCAGTTTACAGGAAAATTCAGCTTGAAGCTATCCTGATTTTCAGTAATTGTTATGCTCTGCCAGCTTGAGAGGGGTCTTTGTTGTTAGACACCCTCACAAATCAACCTGATAATTACAGCACTCATGGCAGCCTTTCCCTTGATGCCTTGAGCTCATTTTGAAGTGTCCAACCCCACAAGTTGGAGGAGACATATGTAGCATTGCCAAAAACAAAAGAAAGGGGGAAAAAAGAGACTGAAAGAAAAATATTACTTCTATCTGGTGGGTGTTGGTCACATAATTTTTAATTTCTAGACTGTGCTAGAAAGCAGCTTGTATGCTTAGGGGAAGCCGTGTGGGCTCAGTACAAGTGAGTTGCTCTCCACACCGCTGCACCACAGCATCTCCTGCCACAGCTTTCCAGGGAAGTGTAGGGAACCAGTCAGAGGACTTTTTCAGATGTGGAAGAATTACTGGCCTGGGTGACTGAGAATACCTAGGTTCTGCCCTCAGCAATGCATGCATGGCCCCCAAGAAGACCCATGTGCTGATCAAGACTACCTCGAGGTGCAGATGTTAAGAAGAAGAAAGAATAGCGCAGTGCATCCCATGGTGATACACAGGCTCAGGCGTCTTCCAAGGAAATTGATGCTGAGGATGTTTAAAGGATTTACTGGAGACAAAAAGGAAAACCATAAAATGTTGAGCAAACTGCAGTGATTGTCTGTCTTTATAGACCTTACACAGCATGCATCAAAACTACTTCTCTGCATCCCCAGTGCCTACCAAATGCTCTGTCAAATCCACAAACCTTATAATTCTCCTCCTATACCCAAACCCTGTAATCTGTGCCCTCTGTTTTGTTTGTCCTTCCTCTCAGAGGATGGAGCCTGTCCTCTGAAATTGCCATGCTGGAGTGTGGCAGGACACCAGTGCTGGTCCTGAGCCCTGCAAGGCAGGCACACCCTGGGTGAGCACCACAGACCTGGGTGGTTTTGCTCCTCTGGCCATGGCCCAGCCAAACACCAGGGCCCAGAGTGTGCCCTGTGGAGTCCCACCAGGAGCTGAGCATTGTCACTGGACCAGTCCCAGCCTGGCTGCACCTGCAGGATCCAACACCTGGTAGCTTTGTAGCCCAGTTGCTGAGATGAACCAGGGAAAACGCTCTCCTCTCAGGAGTGTTGCAGTACCAGACCTGCACACAGTGCCAAGTTCTTTCAAGGGTCCATGTGGGTGCCTTTGGGCCATCCTGCTGTCCCCCAGGGCTCCCAGGCAGGCTGCAGCAGGAAGGGGTTTGAATGGCTGCAGATTACCTGGGCAGTAAAGCTGCTCCCGAGGCCACCATCTCTTAGAAAGTAGGGCACTTCTGTGGTGTGTTCAGTTCCATCAATCTGATTTTTTGTGATCCTTGCTTAGTTATGACTTCCCAAAAACTACACATCTGGGAATTTGGGAAGCCAGGGTTGGTTCTGGAAAGTTAAGAGCAATGTCCCCTGGAGTTTAACCAAGGCCGTTGGTACATACTAACTGCAGATGTGGTCTTTGGCTCTGCTCTTGGAAGGACCTGTGCTGTCATCAGAAGCTGAAATATTCACCTGGGGAGTGATACCCTCCCTTGCCACCAGCTCATGCCCTGTGTCTCAGACATTCATTAGGAAGAGCCTGTGCCTGGCACTTGCCAGCAGTGCTGAGGACATATGAACCCCTGACACATCACTAAATGCATCCAAGCTTTGCAGCAAGTATTGGCTGACTGTAAAAAGGGAGAGGCCAGGAGGGTAGCAGAGTTACATGCGATCTCTCCAGCTGTGCTGATGATCATGGTCTGGTAGGCAGAGGGCCCAAACAAGCGGCAGTGGCAGGGGCTGCGGGTCTCCTCGGAGTCATCACCAGGGTCCTGCACTGGTGGTGCCGTGGAGCCACAGATGAGGTCCCGCTCCAGTAACTCAGCACTGGCCAAGATGACGCCGTAATAAGCGAAAGCTATGCCAAGCCTGAGGGGGGGAGTAAGAAACATGGCAGTGAGCAGCAGCAATGACAAGGAATGTGAGGAAACTGAAATACAGCAGGTTTTGGGTGCTCTGGGACCACCACTGTGAGCATCAGCTCTGCCTGATGGACTGCCCCCTTAGCCTGAGTTTAGCAATGACTCAGGTCCCCGATCAGCCACCCAACGGCGCACAGCTACCACCTATGTCCATGCACCACTCCTCCTTGGAGGACCCTGCCCCAGCTCATAGTTCATCTCTTTGCTTCCCCCTTAGTGCTGATTTTTGCTCTGCAGCAGATGACCTGCTGCAGTCACACTGCCTTTGGTCCCTTTCCTCATGGAGGGCTGTAAGTGGAGACACTTCCAAACACCCCATTCCCGGGAGACCAACCCCAGAGTTGCAACATAGACCCCAGTGCTTGTCCAGGTATTTTTTTTTTAGTCCTCATCCTTTCTGCCCAGGGATTTTTGAAAGGAGTTTTCATTAACTGGCTGGAGAAGCTCACCCTGGCTGTCTCTCAGGAACACAGTATTGATGGCAGCCTGGCTGTGTCATTATCAAGTATTTCAGCAGATGCCTAATCATAAGTGGACCGAGAAGTAATCCCCCTGGCAGTTTCAGAAACAAGCATCAGAATCTGGGCTAGGAAATGAGCTGCCTGGGGAGGCAGGGGATGCTTGGGGCATATTGGGGG